GATGTATAAAGATATTTATTGCAACAATTTTATAAAAGTAGAAAAATGCAGTAATACAAATTATTAGCAGGGAATTGATTAAATAGATAATATAATTATTCATTAATGGAATATTCAATCATTAAAAGCAGCTGTGGAAAATAATGACATATTAAGTGAAAAAGATAAATGCTGGGCGTGGTGGCGCCTGTAATCCCAGCACTCATGAGGTTGAGGCAGGAGGATCATTGTGAGTTCAAGAACCAGCCTGGGTTACAAAGTGAGCTCCAGGACAGCCTGAACTGCATAGTGAGACCCTATCTCAAAAAGACAAAAAAAAAAAAAAAAAAAAAAGAAAAAGAAAAAGACCCTGAAATAATAAAATGGAATTATTGCTCTATAATATCAATGTAAATCAGGCATATGGATTATTTTATCTATTATTATTGATGCTTTCTATATATTACAAATAGTGCAGGAGGGATTCTGGAGATTAAACCAAGGACCTCATGTATGCTAGGCAAGAGCTCTACCACCAAACTACATCCCTAGCCTTTACTTTGTATTTTGCAACAGGACTCTCTAAAATTACCCAATACTGAGCTAGAATTTACAATCCTTCTGCCTCAACTTCCCCAACAGCTGTAATTACAGGCATGCACCACCATGCCTGGTGTACTGCATTGCTTTTATAATCAAAAGCTTTTGCTCACTGCTGAAAGAAAGAAAAAAGTTAAAGAACAAAACTTGTCCTTTGGACATGTTTAAGCGTTTTTCTGCATTATTTTACACTATTTTTACTTTTGATTGACAAAAACTGTGCATATGGGTAGTATAAAATATGATGTTTTGATATGTGTATACTCTGTGAAATGTTTAAACCAAGACAATTAGTATGCAGGGAAAAAACTTTGTCCTTTTGATTCTCATGTCTGATCTATCTTCCTTTCCTTTGCTCTGATTTCTGATATACCTTGTAACATACATACTCTTTGCTAACCAACTAAATAAATGAAATATAACATGAGATTCTTGATTTGGCCATTTGAGGAAACAGGAGCTGACAGCTCATCACAAATATAAATTAATTAAGAATTAGTTGATGAAGTCCTTCCAACATTCTCCACATATTTGTGCTTGTCAGCCTTTGAACACTAATCCAGGCAAACCACGATCCAGGACCATGAGGAGGAGAATGCTCCCTCAGCCCAGCCCAAGGGAGGGTCTAACAGGAACCTCACCTTGCTCTACTAAGCGTCACCCAGCCCCAGGCTGGCCACTGTGGAAGGAGCTGGAAAACGTCTGCAGTGGTGGCTGATGGGAAAGGAATCCCCTCAGAGCACATGAAAGCCAGGCATCAGTACTGTGCTGTCTGACCCTAAGAGTATCTGGTGCTCCGTGAGAGCTGAGACCACCTACAACAACTCAGCTGAAAAGTATCCTGGTGAAGCAGTTACAAGACACAGGTCTTAGCTTCCTCGTCCACATGGGGCAGTATTACCCACCTTTTGCAGTGTGCTGAGCCCTTTACTCCTGCTGGGATGTTAGCCTCTAGAAGAGCATAGCACTTTATAGTCTAACAAACTCATTCATGCCCATTATCCCTCTTGATGCTGGGAGCAGCCTGCGAGGGCTGGTGTGACAAGCCCTTGCAACATGCCAGAACAGTGTCTGTGCCCACTGAGTGGCAGTAAACATGGCATCAAATGGACATGAATGGCAATGGACATCACAGATTCCCAACTGTAACACTTTCTCAGGATCACTGCAGAGATAACACCAGACCCTTACTGTGAAGTAGCTGACCCATGATAAGGGGTAAAGTATCTGAAGAACCAAAGAATTAACATGTGAATTTCAGGAACCCTAGGGCAGCCCGACCTCCTGAACTCACAAGTTCCAGATGCCTCAGAGTTCCCAAGAGCAAAGGGCGTAATGCAGGAGTCCATGCAGGGTTGGATATGGCTATACCCTATTACACCACATCCCCTTCCACCCACTTATTCTTACAAGCAGGCAGTTAAGAAACCCCTTATTCTTGTCAGAAAGAACAAGAAAGGCAGCACCTGAAGGGGCCAGGTTGCCAAACTGCCCTGCTGAGTTCCACAGGCACCATCAGGCCTGTCCTGGGAGGGAGCAGTTTCTGCAGAATTTGTGCTGATGAAAGCAGGATGTCCCTTGTGCCTCTGCAAACCCTGCCAGAGGCCTCAGCAGCTGCCTCCACCGTGAGGGACAGGTCAACAGAACACCTGCTCCTCCCTCAGGCCCCAGGCACAATGGGGACCAGAGAATGAGACCTCTCTGAGCAAACACATGCTTGCTGGGGGCTCTGCTTTCCACAGCTGTGCAAAGTAATGCCCCACTATGGCATTATGAAGAACCTGGGCCTCATTTCTGTCTGCCTTCTGAAGACAACTGCAATATGGCAAAAGAGCCCTGGAGCATGCAAGAGCCCAAATGGACCTGCCAGTACCTACACACTGTGTTCAATACCTCAGAGTGCTTATTTACTCAGCTGGAGGATGGGAGTGACTACAGTGCCAAATTTACAAGTTATTTGAGGAATTACAGGAAATAACTTTGAGACATCTGGTCAGACCTAAGGTAATCAAGATTTATTTGTTCCACGCGACATGGTCAGACAGGCCAATGTAACCAAACTCAGTCGTCCTTCAAGATCCACCTTCTATCCTTCCCAAGGCCACAGCCAGCACCCGGCAGTGCCAGGTCACCCTCTCTCCAAAAGGCCTGTGCTGGCCTGAAAGCAGTTTGGCCCTTCACTGGAATGTCAGTATTTCAAGAAAAAACTTATCTTGTAAAGTTAAGATATAATCATGCTTCTTTCCTAATCTAAAAATCTTTTGATAGTTACCTATATTGTTGAAAATAAAAGTCAAAATGCCTTAAAGCAACTTTTAGGTCCCTCTGCAGCGCCACCTCTCTCACTCTTCCCCTCCATCCTTTTAAATCCCCCCAATGGCCCATACAGGTGCCCAGTGCCACCCCATTCCTCCGTACATGCTCTCTGCTCTTTCTTCATTCCTCCCTGGCCTGCTTTGTCCCTCTTACATATTTCAAAGGATTCTGACTCAAGCATTCTTCTCCATTGAAAAGGAAGAACCCCTTGGTGCCCCTCCTCACTTTTCTAGCACCCCAGGGTGTGTTCCTGAGTACCACCCTATCTTGCAAGCTTCATTTACATTTACATTTCTCCATACTACAAGGTGAGCTCCTTGGGTTAGGGCCTGCGTCTCGCTCATCTTTGTATCTCCAGTTTCTGTCACAATCAATACACGAAGGGTATTTCTTTCTTACTCCAGCATAATTTTTTGAATCTAAAGGACATCCCTTTCCAATTTACCTCCAGCAATAGACCATCTCAAACTAGCTGAGCACTCTCTTCCAGTCTCAAATCCAAGGCTTTCTCCCTTATCTATTTCCTAGACATCCAGATAACTCAAGCCCTCATCCACCAGTTTCTTCTTCATCATGAATGAATATTTATACATCTGTATTTGCATCCAAGTACATTTGCATTTATCTTATGTGTGAGAGAACATTGATCATGTTATGGTAGTTTGCCAGCAGGCCCTTTGAAGTTTAAGAATGTGTTCTGTAGCTATAGAACAAATACTGCAGATTGGTCAAGCAGAGATTGAAACCGTGGTTTCATTTCCATTTTGTTAAGATAAACCCAATGCATACCCCAAAGATGAGCACCATCACAGTATAGGGATAGCAAAGGTAATGGGAATAATAATAATTGTACAGCCCTAGTAACCATCAGTCATTCCTGGAATAATACTGGCATTTGTTAAATGCTTTCTATGCAATGAAAAGAATATTAAAATACTAAGAATGTTACAGACTGACGGCATCTACAACTTTGTACCACTTAAAGCTGTGTATCCTTTTTGCCTCTATTTTTTCATATATACAAAGGATAGACATGGAACCTACAGCATAGAGATTGAATTAGTTATTATGTAAAAATGCTTAGTCGAGGGCCTAGCATGTAGGAAGATCCCAAAATGTGACCCCTGACCCGTGAAGGTTAATCTGAACCTAAGATTATTCGCCCTGGCCACTAAGATCATCTGCCATGGAGGTTGCTGTGTGAATCAGGCTGTCAAGGGGATAGAAATAAAAGCAAAAAGTCGAAGAAACAGAAAACAGGTATCCATTCAACTTACTTTAATAAATCCTTTAAAGTAAAAGAATATAACAATTTTACTTCTTATCTAGTTTTAAGTAACTATCAATCACATGTGTACCATTTAAAATATGCTGAAGCCTTGTTTACAAGAGTAGAAATCAGAGGAACAGGGATATATGTATCTGTATAGATACATATATCCCTGTTCCTCTGATCTCTATAGGTATAGAGATATATAACATTTATATTATATACATATATATGTGCATATGCATATATATAAATTTAGGAATGGCTAAATAAACTGTGGCATATCCAATCTATAACTTACTTAGTAATAATCAGAGTAAGAATGTGACTTCATTCCTGCCAATATTACATTCGGGCATGGTTCAGTGCCTACATAAATTAATACTCATTTTTCTATCTTTCCTGATTTTTATTTATTTATAAACACATACCTGTACACAGACCTATCTACGTTTCCATCTAATGTTCTGTATAGATAGATCAACATATATACACAGAGAAATATAGGGGGTTCTCTTTGCATAAGTGGTATTATGCCATGTGTGTGGGATTCTTTTTTTTTTATAGTTTTTCATGACAACTACTTAGTATGCTGACATTAATAGTTATATTCTGCAGGAGATAACATTAAAGTTTTGTAATCTTGGTGTCTTAAAGGGATGGAATACAAATAATCTAGCAAAGGCACATATTTATTTAATCCTCATAAGAATATGGTAGAGGTGAGTACGCTATAATACCAATCTACAAAGGAGGTAAAGTAGTCCATATTACACAACTAGCAAGGGACAAATTTGTAATCTGAATCCAGGCATTCACGAGCCAGGAGCCATCCTTTTAACCATATTGTGCCAATTTATTGTTCAGTGAAAAAAAGCACAAGACAGAAAGAAAATAGTACACTGTTCAGGTAAAATATACAGAGATACAATATCATGTTGTTTATAAATATACACATAAAGGCAAGAAAATATTCTACAAAATGTATCACATCAAATTACAATATAGGTTGTCTAGGCTGTCTGTGTAAAGGAGTTAATGCAACCCATTATTACAGAATTATTAAAAAACTTATGAAATAAAAATATAAGGAACCAAACCAACTACTTTTGGATTAAATGAGTTCCCTACAGGAAAAGAAAAAATGAAGATACCTTTAATTTCCACTCCTACAGGATTCTATACAAGGGATTCAGACACCAGTAGAGACTGTTATTGCACTGGAAGCTCATCCCACCTGATGGTTCCCTTAAACAAAAAGAAAAAAGAAATCTTCCATATACATCAAATTAAACTCATCATTTAGCCCCAGACATGCCCCAGTGTGCTCCTAATCCCATGAAAAATACTGCTTCTATTCACTGAAGTGTAATAATTAATTTCTGCCCCCTTTTCTAATTTTAACCTCTTTACTAACACGAAGTAATTTAACTATTCCTCTGAAGCCCTTTCATCATATGAAGATGGTTAATTTATGCTGAAGTCTTCTCTTCTCATTCTAGTTATGGTAATGGTGGTACTGAGAATGACTAGTAACAGAGATGGTGGTGGAAGTAGTGGTAATGATAATAATGAATCATGATAGCAGTGTGATAAATGTGGTAGTGGGGATGCCGGAGGCAGTGCTGGAGGTGATAGTTGTGGAGATGATGGTGATGGAGGTGATGATGACCATGGAGCGATAATGAGTTATGATGGCGGTGGTGGTGTTCATTATTACAAGAATGAGTGGAAGTAGCATGATAGTAGTGGTGATGGTGCCAGTATCGGTAGTGATGGTAGTGGTGGTCCTAAAGGTGGTGGACATGATAGTAGTAACAGAGATGGTGGAAGAAATGGTGATGGTAATGATGGTGAGAATGGTGGTGGCTGCTGGGTGTGGTGACGCATGCCTGCACTCAGGGGGCTGAGGCAGAAGGATCATTGCGAGTTTGAGACCAGCCTGGGCTACACAGTGAGCTCAAGGCCAGCCTGAACGGCATAGCAAGACCCTGTCTCAAAAAGACAAAAAAAGAAAAACAAAAAAAAGACAATGAGAATGGTGGTGGCACTGGAAGTCCTTGTGATCATGGTGGTGGTAGTGGTAGCAGAGAAGGTATTGATGAAGGGGATGATGAAGGCAGGATACTAATAGTAACAACGAGCAGAGGCAATATTCGTAGTAATGCGGACAATGAAATGATGATGCTGTTTAACAGATGCCAATAGAATGCTTAGCATTTGCTATAATACTAAAAACAATGTTCACATAGATATGGTGGCAATGGTACCGCTAAGAACAGAAACAGAGATACTGAATGCAAAAAAAAAGTAACTCTAAAGTGGTTGCCTGTTGACTGAAAGCAAAATACCCAGAAAGTAGGTGAGAATGAGGGCAGCAAATAGACAGATACTGTCCAGGCTGGGAGGCCTACAGGACTTATACCTTCCCACCCAGAGCTCTTTGTTCTGAATCATCCTTCCATGTCTATTCCATTTTGGATTTGTGCAGGATGGCAATTTCCTGCCGGCACTTGAAAGAAGGAAAAATGGGAGGGGAGTAAGGGAAGTACACCAAGGCAAGCTCTTAGAGGCTGTCTTCACCCACCCCGGGTAAGCTTTGGTCATCAAGGAGTGTGAGGTTGCATTCCAGGGGAGGAGACAATGCTCTAATGGTCATATCCGCCCCAACCCTCCCACAGACACCAATCCCTCCTGCTAAGGGACATTTGGCCTGTTATGCCACAGATATAAAGTAAGCAAGTAGGCTCAGAAAACAAAAAGCAATTTTTTTTAAAAAAAAAATCAGTGTGTCTACAACAGCCTAAGCACAGAGTGATCACAACATCTATGGCCTCTTGGCAACTCACTGGCGTTTCTGAAACTCATGCCAGCAAAAATAAGTAACTTGGACTCAATCTAGACTAATTCCATATCCATTAGCTGAGATTTTGGCTGAATCACCTCCACTGGCTCATATTTGATTGACTGGGTGGGGACTAAGCACAATTCAAGCAGCAACTAAGGTCACCCTGCGCTTACACCTTCCTCAGTACCTTCCTCGGGTTTTATTGGGTTTCCAGGTGTGACACTATGCTGAGCAAGTATGTGGCTTAAGTGTGGCATCTATATGTCCTGTCCACAACCAGCTCTCAGATGACTACGATGATAGAGATGGTTATGCCACCAAGGGCTCCCAGGTTGGACTGGATGGCCTACTCATCAGAACAAGCTCATCTTCCTGTAAAATGACATCCTCCTAGGACCACAAACGCCAAAGCAGTTCCTATAACTATAACTCTTTCCTCAGCTTTTCCTTCTTCTCTCAAAAGCCTGGTTCACTAATCCTAACGGGTATAATCACCTTAGTGAGGATGCTTCTCCTGCCTTTACTTAGCCTGCACTTAAAGGGCACCACCGTATGATGGACAATGAGCTAAGTCATAGAGGTTCATGATTAACAAGCTTCAGTCCTATCTTCAAGGAGTTTTTAGACCAGCAAGGGACACTGGCATGTAACACATAATTTAAACATAATATGGAAAGTAAGGGGGTTTGTACTTTCATAAAAAGTTATGCTCAAAATAACATGGGCCACAGAAAAGGGATTCACAATCTACTGTTAGAAGAAGTTTCTTGAGAGAAATTATATATGGCTTGGCTGAGAACCACCTTTCCTTCCGAGGTTAAGCAGGAATCACAAAGCCTAAGTATCCCCTGCTGAAGAGACCCACTGAAGCTTAGTAACTCAGCTTTAATTCTAGCTTATCAAGGCCTTTATTTTTCTGTGCTCCTCAGAGACCTCAGCCTGTAGTATCACCAAGGCTGAAGGACCAAACCCAACAAAGTGAATTTCTGACCCAAAATCTTTTTGAGAACTCTTAGCCCCTGCCCCAATCCAATGCCAGTGGCCTCAATGGGGGAGGTCAACCAGACTTCAGAAGGAATTAGGAGATATTACAAGTATCCAGTGTTCCTCTTATGAAATTTTCAAACTTATCAAAGCTTACCAAAGTTCTGTCCAATCTGGAGATCAGCCATTCCAGTCCACTTTTGTATAAATAAGGAAAGTAGGATGGACACTGTGGGGCAAGCTGCCCAGCATTGCATAAAATTAGCCCTTGTGCCTTTTAGCGAAAATGCATATCCCACAGGACAGGAAGGTTTTGTCTGTTTTATCTCTGTGTGGGACAGCTACATGGTTCTCAGAAAGTATTTTCTGATGCTGACACTGATATCGAATTTCATGACACAGGACATTAAAACAGTTTAAAAGCATGAACTTTGGAGTCACAAACAAACAAAAACGATTAACTGGGGCCCTGGCTGAGTTACTTTTGAGTCTGTGACCTCAGCAAGGGCTTTACGTTCCTCACATTGCACTCTTGTCATCTATAAAACAGAGATTTTATAGACAAGCACCACAGGGTTTTGTAGATAGAGCACCACAGAGTGTAGTGATACGCAAATGAAGTAACACATGGAGAGCATCGAACATGGGACTTAGCACACAGCATGTGCTCAACAAATAGACACTGTTGTCATTGGCAATACAGCACTGAGTAACTCAGAGAAGAAATGCAAAGAACTGAACAAAATGGGCAAGACGAGCCAGCCCCTAAACAATGTAACTAAAGAAAAGACAAACCCATCAGACAATTCCTAGCCTCACACCCACTGGTACCTGATATTCTGTCATAAAACCTTCATGCTCTCAACTGTAATTCTGACCCTTACATACTGTTCCTGGGGTGCAGACCCACCCTGAACTGCTATCAGTTGCCACAGTCTAGTTGTACAATCCTTCTTCAAAAATTTAATCAAACATCGAGTTTTTTTTTAATTTCTAGTAGCTTTCCCACATAACAGCTTGTGTAATTCTCTTAACATCATCAAAATGCAAGTGAATCAAATCTCTTTTACACATAAATACATAGGTTCACAAAGATTAAGTAACATAACATGGTCCCACCAAGCTTCCATCTCAGCTTTCCTAACACCAATGAAGTCACCAGAGTTTTATCACAACCCAGGGACAATTTGTAAGAATGAGCTTGAGGCAGAATGGAAGTGGCTAGGGGCACTGTAGGCGTGATCAGGGGCTCCAAGGAGACACTGCTGACTTTACCGCATGCCTCTGGCCTTCTCCAAAGATGCTGGGGGTCAACTCCTGATTCTTGAGCTGCTGTGTCCAGTGATCCGCTTTGGCAGAGAGATGGACACGCTCTCACATTTCACAGCCTCTTTGCTGCCCTCGGCTGACACAGGGGCAGGGCTCCTGCATCACAAGTCTGCATCTCCCAGGAGGATGCTGGGAGTTTCCAACAGGAAAATAGGTTTATACTTTCCTCAAGTGTTTTGTTACCCTCCATAGTCCACATACCTCCTCCACAGTTTCTCCCACATCTATGCACCACTCGTATTGTTATTTATTTAATATTTTCCCTAGGTCAACTCACTATTTTTACCTAGCCGAAATTATTTTAAAAGATGTATTAATGAAACGTTATCTCTCGACCTCATCCTAAGCAATAATAGCCATAAAAGCATAAATCTGAGCACACATATACAGATGTAAGTACATACAACACACATATCACCGGCACATGGACACACTTCATACACATCCTTATGCACATTAAAAGCAATGTATAAGGGGTCGGGGATATAGCTCAGTGGCAGAGCACCTGCCTGGCAAGCACAAGGTCCTAAGTTCAATTCCCATTACCAAAAGAAAAAGAAAGATGTATGTATATAGATAAAAGCAATGTGTAGATTCTGGAATAGGAAGGGTTCTTGGTTCACTAGCAGCAAGCACACTTTGCTTTATGAAACTCTTCTGCAATTTACATAGGATATAAAAGGGATTACGTGGAGTAAAATATCCTAATTAATCATGGAGTGCAATTAAATGTCATAATAACTTACTCAGATGCTAATATCACAATCACATTCAAAATAGTAATTCAGAAATCTGTGCATCATCTACCTGCTTTAAAACTTCTAAAATGCTGTCTCACTTATCTCCCTGCTTTTTGGGCCAAACAGGCCTTATAAACTCCTGGAGTTGCTCAAACTAGACCAGAGATCCCAGAGTTGGTTATAGAGAAAGATTTTAATCTCATTAGACTCAAACCAACAGCATTACAAATCTGGGTGAAAATCTTCTGTTCTTTCTACCTTCCTCTTCTCTCTCCTTCCCTCCATTCTTCTCCATTTTTTTTAACTTTACTTTCAACATACATTGACTTTCCCTGATAAGGACTTGGGTTCCAGGCTTACTAAAAGCTACAGTGCGATCCTTGCCCTCCAGGATCACACAATCTCGTTGGGGTGGTAAAAATAAGAGCACAACATCAAAAGCTAGCTTGCTAACAATCTGGAAGTGGGAAGTGTTAATTCAGTCAACCACCAGCAACAATGGAGGGCTGTGCTAGGTTCTTGAAATCCCAAACAGTGAACAAGACCTAGATGCCCCTCATTAGAGAGCTCAGTCTAGTGGGAAACAAGATCACTGAGCTGCAAAATGAAGTGCTCTCTTCAACAGACTGGATGCTAGAGAAGAGATCCTAGAGGAGGTATCTGATAAGAGTACTGAAAGTTAAACAGATGTTAGACAAATTAAGGAAGCCACCACTCACAGAAAGAGGAAAAAGCACTGTAAAAGATACAAAGGTATTAAAAACAACCTGACTTGTTACAGAATGTGGGGTTGTTAAATTGTACCTTGAGTACTAGGCAAAAACTAAATGACAAAAGGCTTTCTGTATTAAGAAATCTGGACCTGATCATAATATAGGGACACTGAAAACTTTCAGAATAGTGACATGATCAGGGCAAATCTACTGTACTTCAACAGACACAGATGGTGGAGAATAATGTGAGTCAGTTCTATAATAACACTGCTATGTGGGAACAATGAAGATACCATGGACACACAGGGCTGACAAGCGAGAATTAAAGGGCAGCCGTTAGCCAGCGATGAGGTTCATGATCCTGGTCTACCTTCCCAGGAGAAAGGAGACTTGTTCTTGAAACAACGGGGTATAAGGAGAAGTACTAAAGCCTATGGAAGGTAGGAGTTACGAGGAGATGAGACATACACAGATGTGCATACATCACATACATATACAAGAATAGGAACACATCATACATGTGTCACAGTGTATACATACCACACAGACATATATACACATACAGAGAAATATATGCACATACTACACATACAGAAAGACATGTATCCATTACATACATGCAAGATACATCACACAAAGATGTGAGAACCAAAGCTCAAATCTGAAGAAACCTCTCTCTAGTTTGTAGTTTTTCAATTCTAACACAAAACCCAACTCTTCCAATGTTTTTCCAGTTCCTTCTTTCTTCTGCCTGCCCCATCCCTCGGGCACTTGACTATCAAGCATTCTGAGGGACCTCTGTTCCAAATGCCCTCCCCCTAAACCTCCTACTCCCTCTCCTCCCCTTTCTCATGTTCCCCATTCACACACCAAAAAGGGCTGTCTCAGAGGACTCCAGGCCAGAAACCTGTGGAGACAAGATGATATTTAAGGAGACAGGATAAAAGTAGCATTTGGAAGGAAATCAAGGTTTCTGTGGAGAAAAGCAGCACAGTTTTATACACAAAGAAGTCATAGAAGCAAAGAAGTAAGGGGTGGGAGTCCATGCACAACAAACCTTTCTGCCCACCTACTATACGGTCACATTATTATATATACAGAGGAAGAAACAGTCTTTCTCCCCCAGTTAGCAGTAGATCAGGGAGATAACGAAGACATACAAAAATTCAACAGAGTTCTATAGTCCACAGTGTGTAAGACAGCTAGTAGGTCTAGGTGGTAAGAAGATAAGTGACAGTACAATATGGCTGCTAAAACTAATGGTAACAGAGACCACGCAGTGACATGGGAATATCTGTATGATAACACTGCCACATGAAAAGTCAGAATCCAAAAAGTAAGTTTATATAAACAGGAAGTATAAAGAATAAGATGAAAATACACGAATTTTAATACTAGTTGTATTTTCAAATTTGCAATGAAGCTGTTTTGTTGGTGGTATTTACTTTGTTTTGTTTTGTTTCCATTTATACAGTAGAATGAGCTGTTGGAGGATAAAAGGGTCTGTTCTACCACAGGGTTTTCACCGTCCCCAAAGGACATACACATGCAAAGACATAAGTACACGTATGGCACAAATTAATCCATCCTTTGGGGTCCAACTGCACGACGATCTAAAGCAACTTACATGGCTAGCCACGTATCTTTCTTAATCTATGCAATTACATCCACCTCAGTAAGGATACTCTGTGTAACATGGGCCAGCCTTTGTCACCCAACCCTCCCGCTGTATTTTTCCTTCCTCCTCACACTTAGATCAGGTAGGGAAGTACTCCTGGGAGAAAAGTTCCTAAAATGCCTCTGAAGTGAATCTGAGGCTGGCACCCAAGGAGGTAGGAGGCTTCTAAGTTGTCTTCTAAGAGGCCCCTGACTCTTGTCATCTCACCCAATTTCTTCCCTGTCTCTTGACCTGCCTCATCTTTCCTTCCCTTTGACCAGAGAAGGGTCATGCGAAGAAGGCACCAAAAGGATTAGAATGGGGGAAGTTATGTTGACTGTATAGATGAAGAAACAAGTTTAGGGGACAGTTCCTTACCTGAATTCACAATTACTAGTGTTCAGTACAGACTTGGACACTAGCCCTACAAGATCCCAAGAACTCAGAAGAGGAAAGATTCTGATCTCACCCTTCAGAAAATACCAGAGGCTAACAAAATAACAGCTCCTAGCTCTGCTTCAGGGCTGATTCAGAAAGCTCTGGATCCAATGGACCATATGCAGCCAGGGTCTGTGAGAAGGCATGATTCAAGTGATGTTCCAAAACCTAAGAAGCAAGAAAGACAGAATCAGGCACCATGGATGAAGGGTGGATGTGGGGTGGCAAGGAAAGTAGTTTGCTGTCACTGATTTATTTAATCTAGTTTCCATGGGAATTTATTTATTTATTTATTTATTTTTAGAATAAAAGAAGGATAACATAATAATAGGGGG